AACAAATTTCTTAACAGGTATATTTCATATGTACATTGGAGGCACCGAGAGAATGAGTAGTTCTCAAAGAGTTGGCTTTAAATTTCAGTTTATATAGCATCTTAAAGAAAGAGCAGTAGATTTTCAGAGTAGTGGCAGGACAGAGGAAAAGAATTTTGAGTCTCTACATGTAGCAAATTGGGGAAAGCAAATAACAGTCAGATTAAAGTTAGTAAAGCTTCTTAATGTAGATTACTCTGTCATCATATCCTGTGATATCAGATGATAAGGGGCTAATGCTCTCTTCAGTGGTTAACTTTTGTTCCTCCTGTTAGAGAGGTGGGCAGGATACCTTTTGTCTTTGTAAATCTATGTCTTGCTTTTAGTGACACAGGGAGGACAAAGTGCTTTCCTGCATCTACTACTTAATTGTCTTCAGCTCAACAATCCTTCATATTTTGTAGAGCCATATGCTGGTCTCCCACAGTGGTTAATGAGCTTACTGCAAGTAACTAGAGGTTGCCACTTACACAATGTTGCTGGTGCTATGGATTATTGTCACTAGCCTATTGGATTTCCACCAATTTGATGTTCTCATTCCTATCTCTTCCCCATTGCCTCAAAAAACAACCAACGAAACAAAAACAACCAAGAATGACTTGGCCTCTATTTCAACAGACATTTATTAAATACCTTCTATGTGCAAGGAAAGTTCTTAATGTATACAGAAGTGAACAACTCAGTTAGGATCACCATTCATGGTGATAGGGATAAGAGGTAGAGCTGATAAGGTAAAGAGAGCAGTCAAACGTGGGCTAGGGCTACTAATTTAGATTAGGTAATAGGGGTGCTTTTTGTCAAGCGGCGTTTGCAGAGACTCGAATGTACTGAATTAGGAAGTCCTCCACATAATTGGGGAAGAGTGTTCAGGCAGAGGGAATAATAAATGCTAACTAAGATCAGAGCATTATGCATTTAAGGATTGGCAAAGGCCAAATTTTCCTCGAAGCTCATTGTCTTAGTTTCCTATGGCGGCTACAAAAATTTTTTTAAAACTTCGTGGTTTAAAACAACAAAAATGTATTCTCATACTTCTAGAGGCCACAAATCTGAAGTCAAGATGTCCACAAAGCTATGCTCCCTCTGGAGATATTACTTCACTAAACTTGGGTCTGCTCACCCAGCACTGTAAAGCCAAACACCCATGCCAAAGTTTACAGCAAGGGAAAAAAGGGCATTTGCTTGCAGAGTGCCAAGCTAATGCTTAAGACCTGACCTCCCTGATGGTTTACATGTAAGGATTTTTAACAGCAGGAGGCAGAAATTACAGGCAAAGTCTTAAATCAATACATGGAGGACATACATTGGTTTGACCTAAAAAAGTTTGATGTCTTGAAGTGGGGACCTGCGAGGGATGGCTTACAGGTCATAGGTGGATTCAGAGACTTTTAGATGTGCAGTTGGTTTAGGAAGACAAGCTTTATCTACAAAGTTGGGGTCAGCAGAAAGAAATGTTATTATTTGGTCTGTGGACATGGCTTCTCCAGGTCCAGTCAGAAAAAAATTTGGAACAAAGAACAATAGTCAGAGTTCAGACCTTTGTTCACCCTTATCTGAGGTTTACATGGCAGAGGTTTTTTGTTTGTTTGTTTGTTTTTAATCTATCTGTTGGCATTTTTTATTTAGTGGGGGTCCAGGTTTCCAAAAAACAACTCAGGGATATGTTAAGATATTATTTTTGGTTTCTATAGGGAATCAAGCATCTTCTGACTCTAACTTACTTGGGTGGGTATTGTTTAAGTTATCATTACCTTTTTGTTTATCAGGTTGCTCATTTACTTTTTAGGGCTAGCTAGATGCCTGGGATTGCCCTTGAAGGGACTCAAGAGTTTTCCTTTATTTCCATGCTTAAGACAGGGATAGCAGGCCCCTAAAAGGGGTCCCTGCTTTGTCTCAAAGGCTCTAGAAATGAATACTTCCTTGCTTTTCTGGCTTCTAGTGGCTCCAAAAATTCCCTGGGTTATGACTATGTTATTCCAGTCTCTGCCACTCTCTTCATGAGGTCTTCTCCTCTGTGTCTGAATCTTCTCCTCTTTTGTCTCTAATAAAAAGAATTATCATTGAATTTAGGGCTCACCCATGTAATTCATAACGATGTCATCTCAAAATCCTTAACTTAATGACACCTGCAAACACTCTTTTCCAGATAGGTTTATAATCCTAGGCTCTTGGAGTTAAGATGCAAAAATTTTTTTTGTGAGGCTATCATTCAACCCATGACACTTACCTTAATAAATATACTCTTCAGGGAAGTGACTGGTTTGAACTAATAGCAGGTGGGCTTCTCATGAGTTAGCCTCAAATATATAGCAAAATCTTGGAAATTCTTCCCTCGTCTCCAGGCTAGATCTTCCATGCATTTTAAAGACACCTTTTCTTTCAGGCAATTCCGCTTCTAACCAGAGGCTTAGAAATATGCTAACACAATAGTCCATTGGAATGACTGACAGTTTTGCTAAACTATTATGTTTGTCTTATGTCCTGACACAATTTTCTGCTGCTAAATTCAGTGACAGCATCTCCCTGCATTTAGCATCTAACTAAGACAAGAGCGTAGTGCATTTAAGAATGAGCAGAAAGGTCAATCTTAATATCCAGAGTCTCTTTTTAAAACTCACATTGTTTGAGCCACTTAAACACATAGGCCTGCATTCATTTATAACTTTTTTTTCCCATTGATTTATTTCCCCTATTAAAAGCATCAGCCATGTATAAAGACATTTACATACTTTAAATATCTAATTAGTGTACCCAAGTTCTGCATTAAAGAAATAGAATCAATATGTGTTGAATGCACATGAACTCTATAATCCTATGGAATAGGAGCATGACATTTAGGTCATCATTAAGAACAAAACATTACTAATAATTACCGAGGAGGGGGAGCATCTTTTATTACTTTTTTCCCAAGATGTTGATTCCATATTTACCATTTAGACTGGTTGTTAGGAGGAATTTTTAAATAACTATTTGGAAAAATTCACTGGCTTCAAGTAGGCTGAAGATAATGTTCTTTTGAACTTAAATTTATTTTTAGTTCCTGTGTAGTAAAATTTTAAAAATGTGTTCATATTAATCTGACTTTTGAATTTTTATAAACCTCTGTGTCTCAGATACATTTTTTTCTTTCTCTAATTCTAAGACCATGTATAGTGACAATTCTTTATTCTTTGAGCCATAATTCAATACCTGGTAATTTAAAGGTCAATAAACAATGTAAAAGCAATTTCATGTATTTCCCTTTCACCACCTAATTGTCAAAAGTACACTTTGTACTATGGGGACATGCTGTCAGCCTAACATCAGCGCCTTTCCCCTCCCCTGTGCTTCTTAACACCTGTTCTTGCTTGAGCTTGACTTCTTATTTCTGGTATTAAATATTTCCTGTTGTTCCTTATTGTTCTGATTAATTACAAATACAAGCCAAGAGAGTGATTATAAATAGATGGTGTTAAGTTATTATTAGTGATGGAATAAATACTAACCTATATTGGGCAGTTTATTTGAGCTGTAAGTGATTGCCTATGGGACTATTTACTCTGCTTCTCCAAAGAAAATTGTCCTTTTGACTTTTGACATGACATAAACTAAAAGAAACCAATATTAATCTGCATTGACTTGCTCAGCTCAGTTGCTGGCAAGTAAAAAGACCCAGACCTTCCAAAGTTTTATTTTAACAATGCAGAGACACATACTTCTTTATATGGGGTCTGTGTCTGTGCATGTTGTCAATTTTGTAGAAAAAAAGTCTTGTTATGGTCCAAATAATGCATTGAATTTAGATGACTTCTAAACAATGAAACATCAGAATACTGAATGCAGGATGCATTTTACTTCTTTTTCACTCAAGTTCTTAAGAAAACAGAGCATGAAGAGGTTTTTTAAAATGATGTTCCAAGGCTTTCTAAAGCGCTCTACTTAAATCAGCCATGTTATTCTTCATCTATTACCATTCTAGGCAGTATATGTAGTCTCCATGATAGGCAACATATTTTACAAAAAGAAAGACTTTTCAGAATATATAAAAACATTCAGGGGTAGCAAATGCTTTATAAGACTCTTACTTATCCTTCCCTCCACATCCAGACATGTTCTTGGGAGTTGTTTCTAAAGAGTCATCTGGAATACATTCCAAAAACTTGTTAATGATATGCATCTCTGTGAATTTTTTTTTAAGGTAGACCCCCATTTTGATATGCAGACCTTTGCATTTAAGGTTGTATTTGTTTGTATTATTTTATGAAAAAAAATTCAATTAACTAATTCCAGGAAGCATAAAATGCTGTGTATGGTATTCTGTATTTCACTTGTAAACCATTTTCAGAGCTGGTTTATTTCAAACTTGTGTATAAGTCCACTTCCATTAAAATCAACAGGGGCATGTTGAGCATAAGAAAAGAGGATCCACAAAATGTTGCTCAGCTCTCACGTGTGTTTTTTGAAGCTGGCTTCCATGGAAATGGTCCCTGATACTTTTCTAGGTGCTGAGAAAACCACTGAGCTAAACAGACTCTAGTCCTATCCTCATAGGGCTTATTAGTTGTACACATAACTCATTTGCAAGCAGTGATAAGGACTAAAACTGATGTGGCATTCGAGTTGACAGCTCATGGTTAAGTAGGAGTTAACTAAGTAAAGAAGGAGGAAGGCTTTCCAAGAAGAGGAGGCATACACATAAAGACCCTCAGGATGGAAGGAGCATGTGCATTTGTAGGACTTGAAAGAAGGAAGGAGTTTCTGGACGATTTTATAAAACGGCCTTTTGTAGAATAATAACTATCTAGGCCTTCTAAAACCTATAGCAGGCTGGGGGCATACTGGCTCACGCCTGTAATCCCAGCACTTTGGGAGGCTAAGGCAGGTAAATCACGAGGTCAGGTGTTCAAGACAAGCCTGGCCAACGTAGTGAAACACAGTCTCTATTAAAATACAAAAATTTAGCCAGGTGTGGTGGTGGAGACCTGTAATCTTAGTTACTCAGGAGGCTGAGACAGGAGAATCGCTTGAACCCAAGAGGCAGAGGTTGCAGTGAACCAGTGAGCCAAGGTTGTGCCACTGCACTGCATCATGGGCCACAGTGCAAGACTGTCTCAAAAAAAAAAAAAAAAGCAAAAAACCAAAAAAACCTATACCAGATACAGACTTACAAATCTTTTATGAACAGAGTTTTCAAGTATTTTTTTACTTTTCTTTCAGAAAATGTAAGTTGATACCAAATGCAATTTACATAAATATAATTTTTGTTCCCAAGCCCTTGGGATCCCTCCACTTGCATCAGTGTGGTCTGGATGTGAGACTGAAGTCAAAGGAGGTTATTTTGAGGTTTAAGATTGAATGAGTGCCCAGCTGGGTTTTGAACTTGCATAGGACCTATATCCCCTTTATTTTGGCTTATTTCTCACTTTTGTAATCTGTATTTTTACCCAATGCCTATACCCCTTACTGTATCTTGGGAGTAATAACTTGCTTTTTATTTTACAGGTTCATAGATGGAAAGAACTTGCCTTGTCTCAGATGAGACTTTGGACTGCAGACTTTCAAGTTAATGGCAAAATGAGTTAAGACTTGTACTGTTGAGAAGGATTGATTGCGTTTTTCAGTGTAAGAAAGACATGAGATTTGAGAGGGGCTGGGGTGGAATGATATGGTTTGGATTTGTATCCCTGATCAAATCACATTTCAAATTGTAATTCCCAATATTAGAGGAGGGGCCTACTGTGAGGTGATTAGATCCTGGGGGTGGATTTTCTTCTTACTTTTTCCCATGATAGTGCATAAGTTCTCACGGGATCTGCTTGTCTAAAAGTGTATAGCACCTCCCCCTTTCCTCTCTTCCTCCTGCTCTGGCCATGTGAGATGTGCCTCCTTCCTCTTTGCCTTCCACCATGATTGTAAGTTTCCTGAGGCCTCCCCAGCTATGCTTCTTATATAGCCTGCAGTGCTGTGAGCCAATTAGACCTCTTTTCTTTATAAATTACCCAATCTTTTTTATAGCAGTGGGAGAGTGGACTAACACACTTTGCTATGACAGAGCTAAATTTGCTTTACAAATCCATAGAGTTTGCATGTGTTATTTTCTTTGCCTGAAATAGTCTTCTACCAAATATCTTATGGATGGTCCTTCTCTCCAGTTTTTAGGTTAAAACTCACCCAATGACAAAATTTTAAGATTTTTTTCTCTACTCTATTATCCTTTCTTACTTTCTTCACAGCAGGTGCTAGCTAAAAATATCTTATTTGTCTGCTTGTTTATTGTCTAATTATACCCACTTTAAGAAGATAAGCTTCACAAAGTCAGGACACTCAGTGACTACAGAAGTATCTGACCCAATGTGGGAATTCAGTAAATATTTACAAAAAATAAATGATCTCTTCTCATTCTTTTCTCCTTTCTTTATGTGGTTGTCATAATTCCTGACATCTGTCTGCATTTGCTTTCTGTAAATCTTTAGTAAGCCTGCAGGCCTATTCCATATGCAGTACTTCCCAATCAAAATCAAAACAAATAAATTGATAATATTCCTTTCTAGAATACTTTTATCTTCTTTCACTTCATATTTGTCTTGCTTCTAATTGTTGGGTGTTTAAGTTTGATTTCATGGGATAGACAAATTTGTAACTCATGCTAAAAGGCAGGACTGATTTTCAGAAACAGAATAGTGACCAGGTAGTAATCAACATCAGACCAACTAGAAAATCAGATGCAAAATATTAGCTGGGAACCAACAAAGTTACAAAACAACCCAGCAAAGGTACAAAAAATGGAAACTAGAGAAGTCAGATAGGCTGAAGACAAAGACCAGTTTCAATCTAAAGTCAAGATAATCTCCACAGAAACCTGTTTCATAGAGTGCAGCTGCTAAGTCTTCAAACTTTTAGACCTGATTTGGCTTTATCCCTTAGGCATGTTCTTCCATTTCAGATTGAATGAAATCTTTATTCGCTTACATTGAAATCAGTTTCATCCTTCCAGCAGTTGTCATAGTCTCTAAATTGGGTAGGTGCCATACATAAAACTCTATGTCTTCAGAAATTCATTTGAGGCCAATCTGTAAGAAGTGAATTAGTCCTTTGGAAGACCCTCAGACATAGGCCTGGAAGACCCTCAGACATAGGCCTCACTATATGATGGAGAATTTCAAGGCAAATTTATGTTGTATAAAATGTTTCATTTAGAGAATGAATATATTCTTTTATTTCTAGTGGGGTTACTAGTTACCAATAACCAAACAATTTAAATCCACTAAAATAAGAGTAATGAGTAGGTCAATTTGTTTTTAGATGCTAGTATGCCATATTTCTTGTCTAGTGTTAAATTTTCTGTTCTTTTACACATGAGGGCTTTGTGTTCTGTAATTGCTCTTTAATGTGGAGATCTATTTTAATTTAGGAAAGAGCAAATGTAAATAGACAAAAATGTCAATAAACAATACTGTACTGGCCAGTTTGTAGAAAAATTATGAATGCATTCTGGAATGATTGTAGTTAGCATCAATATCTGTGATTGTAGAATCACATCTAAATTGTGATAAAATCACTGTTAATATTAATTAATATCATCTAAACTAGAATTTAAAGAATAGCTGACATAATTTACTCATATTTTCTCCCTAAATTGTAAAATCTGTGTTTGTTCACCATAGAATATTTTGAAAAAGGTAATCAAAAACTAAAATCATCCATAACATTATATATCAATAATCACTATTGATCCTTTGGTATATATCCTTTCAGTTGTTTTTCTACAAGGTGATTTAGGAAAAGCTGTTTTAAAGTCAGTTTTTTTTTTTTTTAATTACATGTCAAACAAATCCCTATGGAATTACATAATTTTCTGTTGCCCCACTGAAAATTGCTAGAATTAAGTCCTCTGATGTATCATACACTGATTCAAAAGACAAAACCATATCAGCACCTAAGTATTCCAGGCATTTTTATTGGTTATCACTATGGAGTTTAGATTTTTCTTTACTTCTAAAACTCTCCCATGATGTTTCTGGCCCTTGGAGTTCTTTCCCCAACAGGGTTTTGTGAAGAATTGGTGTATATGGATTAAAACTCTGGAGTTTGAGCTGAACATACCTAGATTTGAGTCCCATTTCCACCACTTTCTGCCACTTTCTGTGTGAACTTATGCATGAAATTTCGTTTTTCATTCTCAGTTTTCACACCAGCAAAATTGAAATAATAAAAACAGGCAATTAGTAATGTCATGACAAATACTATAAGGCTGCAGTGGTTTTAAAATATATACACAAATTCTTTAAGGCTCCTGTCTTTGGCAGATGGAGTTTATGTCCTTTCTGTTGAATCTGAACTGACTTTATGTATTTTTTTTTATTTTATTTTAGATTCAGGAGTACATGTGCAGATTTGTTATGTAGGTAAATAGTGTGTCAAAGGAGTTTAGTATACAGATTATTTAATCACCCTGGTAATGAGCATAGTACTTGATAGGTAGTTTTTTGATTCTCAGCCTCCTCCCACCTTCATACTCAAGTGGGACCCAGTTCCTGTTGCTTCCTTCTTTGTGTCCATGGGTACTCACTTATAAAATAGAACATGTTGTATTTGGTTTTTCATTCGTTTGTTAATTTGTTTAGTACAATGGCTTCCAGCTTCAACCATATTACTACAAAGGATATGACTTGTATCTGTGTGTGTGTCTGTGTAGTATTCCATGGTGTATAGGTACCACTTTTTTTCATCCAGGCTACTGTCAATGGACATTTAAGTTGATTCCATGTCTTTGCTATTGTAAATATTGCTGCAATGAACATACATATGCATGTGTCTTTATGGTGGAATGATTTCTATTCCTTTGGGTATATATCTAATAATGGAATTGCTAGTCAAATGTTAATTCTGTTTTAAGTCCTTTGAGAAATTACCAAACCGCTTTACACAATGGCTAAACTAATTTGCATTCTCACTAGCAGTATCTGTGCATTCTGTTTCCTCTGTAACCTCACCAGCATCTGTTGTTTTTTGACCTTTTAATAATAATAATTTTGACTGATATGAGATGGTATCTTATTGTGGTTTTAATTCACATTTCTCTAATTATTAGTAACATTGATTATCTTCTCATATGCTTTTTTGGGTGCATGTATCTATTCTTTAAAAAATGTTTTAAACTCCACTCTAAATGTTTAGAACTCCCCACTTTAAATACACAAAATATACACTCTTATCAGTATTACATCACACCTATTTACAGGTTTAAATGACATATTGGTTGGCTGCTTGTTCATTATTTTCTTCCCTCATTTTTTTTATATATCTCTATTATTAAACACAATTACAGGCATACCCATTTTTAGACTGCATTCTAGCCTGGGCAATAAAGCAACACCCCTGTTCTCTCTCCCTCTTCCTCTTTCTTTTTTCCTTCATTCTTTTTTTTTCTTTTTCTTTTTTTTTTATTCTTTCTCTTTCTTTCTCTCCTTTCTTCCTCTAAAAAAAAATGTTTGTTCATGTCCTTTGCCCACTTGTTAATGGGGTTGCTTTTTGCTTGTTAATTTGTTTAAGGTTCTTAAAGATTCTGGCTATTAGACCTTTGTCAGATGCATAGTTTACACACATTTTCTCCCATTTTGTATATTGTCTGTTTACTCAGTTGTAGATTCTTTTGCTGTGCAGAAGCTCTGTAGTTTAATTAAGTCCCATCTGTCAATTTTTGCTTTTGTTGCAATTGCTGTTGGCATCTTCATCATGAAATCTTTCCCTGTGCCTATGTCCAGAATGATTTTGAGGTTTTCTTCCAGGGTTTTTATAGTTTTGGGTTTTACATTTAGGTTTTTAATCCATCTTGAGTTGATTTTTTTTGTATATAGGGTAAATAAGTGCTCCAGTTTCAATCTTCTGCATATTGCTAGCCATTTTTCCCAGTACCATTTATTGAAGAGGGATTCCTTTCCCCATTGCTTGTTTTGTTGAAGATTAAATGATTTAGGTGTGTGACATGATTTCTTGGCTCTCTATTCTGTTTCATTGGTTTATGTGTCTGTTTTTGTAGCAGTACCGAGCTGTTTTGGTTACCATAGCCTTCCAGTATAGTTTGAAGTGGGAGTAATATGATGCCTCTAGCTTTGTTCATTTTGTTTAGGATTCCTTTGGCTATTCAGGCCCTTTTTTGGATCCAAATGAACTTTAAAATTATTTTTTCTAATTCTGTGAAGAATGTCATTGGCAGATGAATAGCAATAATATTGAATCTGTACATTGCTTTGGGCAATGTGGCCAATTTAACTGTATTGATTTTTCTATTGATGAGCATGAAATTTTTTTTCATTTGTTTGTGCTGTCTCTGATTTCCTTCATGGTTGTTTTCTGATTCTTATCATAGAGATCTTTCACCTACCTGGTAAGCTGCATTCCTAGGCATTTCATTCATTTTGTGCTTACTGTGAATGGGATGGCATTCCTGTTTTGGCTCTCAACTTGGACTTTATTGGTGTAAAAAAATGCTACTGATTTTTGTGCATTGATTTTGTATCCAGAAGCTTTGATAAAGTTGTTTATCACATCAGGGAATTTGGAGGCTGAGATTATATGGTGTGGTAGGCATAGAATCATATTGTCTGCAAAGAGAAGTAGGTTGGCTTCCTCTCTTCCTACCTGAATATTGCTAATTTTTCTCTCTTGCTGATTGCTCTGGCTAGGACTTCCATTACTATGTAGAATAGGAGTGGTGAGAGTTGGCATTCTTTGCTTCTGGTTTTCAAGAGGAATGTTTTAAGCTTTTACCCATTCAGGATGATATTAGTTGTGGTTTTGTCATAGATGACAGCATTTACATTCATTGTTATTATTAAGTAAGAACTAACTACTGCTATTTTGGTGCTTATTTACTGTTTATTGAGACATTGTTCCTACCATTTTAATGTTTTCCTTTGTGGTTAAATAATTTTATCTGATAGGGTATTTTAATTCTTGCTTTTTATTTTTAGTTTGTTTATAATAGGTTTTTTGTGGAAGACAATGTGGCAATAACTCAAAGACCCCAAGACAGAAATATCTCTATACCCAGTAATCTCATTACTGAGTACAAACTCAAAGAAATATAAATCATTCTATTATAAAGATACATTCATGCGTATGTTCATTGCAGCACTAGTCACAATAGCAAAGACATGGAATCAACCTAACTGCCCATCAGTAATAGACTGGATAAAGAAAATGTAGTACATATACACCATTGAAAAGAATGGAACCATGAAAAATAATGAGATCATGTTCTTTGCAGGGATATGGATGGAGCTGGAGGCCATTATCCTTAGCAAACTAACACAGAAAGAGAAACCAAATACCACATGTTCCCACTTACAAGTTGGAGCTAAATGATGACAATGTATGGACACATAGAGGGGAACGACACACACTGAGGCCTTTCAGAGGGTGGAGGGTGGGAGGAGGGAGAGGACCAGGAAAATTAACTAATAAGTAGTAGGCTTAATACCTGAGTAATGAAATAATCTGTATAACAATCATCCATGACACAAGTTTACCTATGTAAAAAACTTGCACTTGTACTCCTGAACTTAAAAGTTTACACACATATGTGTAATGTTTATTACTTAAAAACCAAAGAAAATTAGGCAGTACTTTTTAAGGAGCTATTGAATAAAAAGTCGCAGTTCCTACAATTAAGTAAATAGCACGAAGTGAGAGTCATGGTTTTCATTGTTAGAATGCAAGATTGTAGATAAAAAGAGGAGAGGATAGAATAATGCATGATAATGAATTAAAGTGGGAAGCATCAGTGTGAACTCTTTTAAGCTTATTCAGATGAATATATGTATAATTATCGATATATGTACATACATGGGCTAGTTACACACATGTGTGTATATATATATATTTTGTTTGTTTGTTTGTTTGTTTTTGAGACAGAGTTTCACTCCGTTGTCCAGACTGGAATGCAGTGATGCGATCTTGGCTCACTGCAACCTCTGTCTCTTGGGTTCAAGCAATTCTCTGCCTCAGCCTTCCGAGTAGCTGGGATTATAAGCACCCGCCACTACGCCCAGCTAATTTTTTTGTATTTTTAGTAGAGACAGGGCTTCACCATCTTGGCCAGGCTGGTCTTGAACTCCTGACCTCATGATCCACCTGCCTCAGCTTCCCAAAGTGCCGGGATTACAGGTGTGAGCCACTGCACCAAGCCTCACATGTATACCTTTTTGCTCTGGCAGCTAAGAGTCTTGAAACACTAATACCCCAGTACCAATGAGCACACCAAGCACACAAATCTTGGTTTCTAACATCATTCTCCAATAAAGTAAGCCAAGTCTTCATGGAGAAATGGCAGATTCTAGCACTGAAGCAAGGACTATACAAGAAGATACTGAAATCTAATGTCTGAAAATAAAAAGTACTCACTAAGTTATACTGATGGGGTATGTGAAAGGGATACAGGAATCAACTGAAAGAGCTTCCAATGGCCAAAAATGGAAAATTTGAGCTAACAAAAGTAAATAATCATGAATTATAACCTGAAGCATAATATAAATGCATATGAGTATATCCTTCTATAAAGAAATGAATGAATGAATGAGGAGAATAGACAAACATTTATTACAGAATTCCAATTAATTTTTGTAAATACTTTGTCCTCATGGAGATGGAACATAATTTCCCCTTAAGTGTGGGCTGCACGGGACGACTTCCTTGCAAAAAGTGCAGTATGGAAAGGGGGAAAGAAACAGTGCAGAAACTTGACAGACACCATTCAAGCCATGTGATCAAGGCTAACATCAACAGTCATTAAGTTATGTTGATAGTATGTACCCTGGATATGGGGTGGTGTGAAAGACACTGTAGTCATCCGTACAAAAACAGTTTCTTATCATGGGGAAAATGCCAGGCAAACTCCAATTTAAGGGCTTTCTACAAAATGCTTGAGCAGTATTCCTCAAAACCATCAAGGTCATTAAAAACAAGAACACTTTGAAACTGTCAGGGCCTAGAGATGCGTACGAGAAATTTGATGACTACATGTATCATGATATTGTGGATGGAATGCTGAACAGAAAAAAGGACATTAGATAAAAACTTAGGAAATCTGATGAAAACATGGGCTTTAATTAATAATAATATATCATTATGGTTTCATTAGTTATGACAAACATATTATAGTAATAAGTCAATAATAGGAGAAACTAGGTCTGATCTATAAGGGACATCTGTGAACATCTTTGTAACTTTTCCATAGTTCTAAAACTATTCTTAAACAAAAATATTTTAGTAAATTAACTAATCCACTATGACTCTATGAAACTCTTAATAAACACAGAGCAAAACTCTAGAATTACTGGAAATACAATTTCCAATCCATTAAATATCCAGGAATTTATGAAAATAGACTTGATATTTTAAAAACGATCTGCTATACATAACAAAGGTCTCAATTATTTTTGAGGCTGTAGGAATGTACTGGAAATTTCCACAGATAATCAAACATTTTTTCAAGGTTACTAGATAAATAATGACATTTTAAATCTCTCATTATGCATGTTTATAACCATTTCTTCTTTAAATGCAAATGTCATGGCTTTCTGATTAAAGCATACACAATTCAAGCACTTCAGTTATCAAATAAGTTTATTCCACTTTCTGGGGTTGTGCTAAATGTTGTACCAAATTAATTTAAGACATTTAAAATGGTGACTCTGGAGATCACAATTAGTAAAGACTCCTATAATTAATCAAAGGAATATTTTTCACTATGAGCAAATAGAAAATACTTATTGTTCTTTACTCGTGGAACATAACTGAGATACAGAGGTTGATATTCAATGATTCATTCATTCAGTTTTTACCTGTGTGGACAGGGTTGAAGATGCCAAAGTACTTGTCACATCACTATGATCCAGTTGGGATTTCATCTAATGAAGGGCTGAAGCCCTCTCAAAGATTTTTGAGCAACCACAAAAAGGAAACAGGAAGGTTGAGAAACTATCCTTTTAATTTAACTGGTACAATTTATGTCCCTAGAGTAAAGCATCTTTGCCGGAGGTGTTCCCTATGAGTCCATTCTGTTCACTAGTTTCTAAAAGAAAATGTTTATTGTGATAGTTATTTAAGTATTTAAAACAGATGTTCAGTGACTAGCAACTAACTTTTGAGTTGGGAAGTCACCTACAAGAGGAGTTCCACCTTCTTTGCAGCCAGATCCAATTACATACAGCCAGAACCAACCACCTTCTAATGGAAGGTCCTTTGCCAGGAGGCAACTCTGCTTTTTCATGAACTTAAAAAATAAACAAACACATAACCCAAATTGTTACTGTTGCTATTTGGGTTAATTGACACATTGACAAAACTGGAAAATATTTCATCCACCATCCATTTTCCTGTAGATAGGGGTTCATCACCTTTTTGGTGCCAAGGACCTTTTCAATCTTCTGATAAAGCTATGGATTTTTTTCTTAGAATAATGTTATAAAAGCATAAAATAAAAAGGAAAACAAATTGCACTGATATAGAAATAAAAATATTCAAATAAATGTGTTGCAGTAATATATGCTATTTTATTAAAAATTAAATAATACATAGCCACAGGTATAATAGCTACTATAATTTTGAAGTAATGATAAGCATAAATATTAATTAAATATATCTGTAAAAACTATAATTCACAATGAAAGCATGTGAGATTTCCAACAATAACAAAATGACAAATACTTCAAATACTATACTGTATTATTTTTGCCTATATTCATAGCTGAAGAAAATAATAGATTTTAGTTACACTGCCCTTTTTTATGTTTCCTATGAGACAATAACTCCTTACTGAGAAAATTTGCATTGTTTGTCCTGACCGGAGCAATCTTTCTCCAAAATAGAATTGATTCTTACTTGCCTTTTACATCCCAGCTTCAATTTGTCTTCCATGGAAAGGTTTTCTTTAATCCCCCACACTACAGCAGCAAAGCAGTCACTCTCTAGACTTGACCTTCTTTAAATCTTCTGCCTTGCACTTATTTCTTTATTCCTCAGTAGGTTTTCTCCTTCTCTTTTACCTACCTCCTTTACCTACCTCCTTTACCTAGGCCATTTCATGACACATGGTAGGTACTAAATCAATATTTGTTGAGTGAATGAATGGATGTTATCTGCTCATTAGTGCCCCGCAGTTCACAGCCAGCTTCCTAGACTTACAACGTGATAATCTGGAAAGGCTATTGCAGAGTGGGAGGAGAGGCGGAGAAAACTCATCATGCTGCCATCATCCTTTCCAGTGAGAAAAGCCCTCTTAGACCCATGCTTCTTTTGCCCTTTACTCCAGCATAAGTCCAAACAATTACATACT